TGGGACTTATTCCAGGGATGCCAGGATGGTTCAACATGTGCAAATCAATCAATGTGATAATCTACATAAACAAAATAAAGGATAAAAATCATCTCATCATCTCAATAAATACAGAAAAAGAAACTGACAAAATTCAACATCTATTTATGATAAAAACTCTCAAAAAGTGGGAACATACCTCAACATAACAAAGGCCATATACTAGTATAACAAACCTACAACTAACACCATACTCAACAGTGAAGATTGGAAAGCTTTTCATCTAAGATCAGAAACAAGACAAAGATGACCACACTCACCACTTTTATTCAACATATTATTGGAAATCCTAGCCACAGCAATTGGGTAAGAAAAATAAATTAAAGGCATCCAAATAAAAAAGGAAGAAGTAAAACTTTCACTATTTGCAGATAGCATGGTAATACAGTGTGGAGCAAAAGTAGATTTACAGTTGTGAGTATGTGAAACACAGAGTTTATCCTGTATTAATATTATTTATTAATTATTATTTTCTGTATGAACAACTGTAAACCTACTTTTGCCCCACACTATATAAAGAAAATCCTTAGATTCCACCAAACAAACAAACATTAGAACAAATAAACTCAGCAGAGATGCAGTATACAAAATCAATGTACAGAAATGGGTAGCATTTTTATACACTAATAATAAACTATCATAAAGAGAAATTAAGAAAATAGTCCCAGAGAAAAGTAATTCTGGGAAACCAAGATGGCGGCATAGATTGCTGCCTCGAACAACCACTTCAAAAAACAACTAAAAGACGGAACGGACATCATCCAGAACCACAGGAAGGCTAGCTGAGTGGAAATTCTACAACTAGGAGGAAAGAGAATATCATACCCAGACTCAGAGGAGGCGCAGTGCTGAAGTGAAATACTAAGGTGCGGAGTGCATGTGGAGCGGGCTGGAGGCGGAGGGCACGGTTGTTGTTTTCAATCGGGAGGGAGTTTCAGACTCTGAGCTCCAGATCCGGGCGAGTCTCTAGGGACCCAGACTCAAACGGGAGAAGCGGGACTGTCTGGCTTCGGTCGGAACTCGAAGGCAGCTTTCTCTCCTAGGTTTGCAGCGGTTGCTGGGACTCAGAGAGGCAGAGCCCCTAGGGACGGAACTGAGAGCAGCTGTAACTGCTTGCTCTGCCCGCCCTGTAGGTCCCCTGGGGACCCGCCCCGCCCAAGCCCTGCCCAGAGCCATTTGCCGGATAGCCTCAGGCAAAGGCTAGATTAGCACCGCCCTAGAGATCCAGCACAGAAGCTCTCCCACTGCAGACACAACGGACTCTCATAGCCAGTTAGCCTGGAGGTCAAATCACCCCCGGTATTGCCGACAACAATCAAGGCTTACCTCCAACAAGACTGCGCACAAAGACCACTAAGGGGTGCACCAAGAAAGCATAAAAAATGAGGAGACAAAGAAACAGGACAAAACTGTCAATGGAGGATATTGAGTTCAGAACCACACTTTTAAGGTCTCTCAAGAACTGTCTAGAAGCCGCCGATAAATGTAGTGAGATCCTCAAGAAATCTAATGAGACCCTCGATGTTATGATAAAAAACCAACTAGAAATTAAGCATACACGGACTGAAATAACGAATACTATACAGACTCCCAACAGCAGACTAGAGGAGCGCAAGAATCAAGGCAAAGATTTGAAATGCGAAGAAGCAAAAAACACCCAACCAGAAAAGCAAAATGAAAAAAGAATCCGAAAATACGAATATAGTGTAAGGAGCCTCTGGGACAGCTTCAAGCGTACCAACATCCGAATTATAGGGGTGCCAGAAGATGAGAGAGAGCAAGATATTGAAAACCTATTTGAGAAATAATGACAGAAAACTTCCCCTACCTGGTGAAAGAAATAGACTTACAAGGCCAGGAAGCACAGAGAACCCCAAACAAAAGGAATCCAAAGAGGACCACACCAAGACACATCATCATTAAAATGCCAAGAGCAAAAGACAAAGAGAGAATCTTAAAAACAGCAAGAGAAAGAAACTCAGTTACCTACAAGGGAATACCCATACGACTGTCAGCTGATTTCTCAACAGAAACTTTGCAGGCCAGAAGGGAATGGCAAGAAATATTCAAAGTGATGAATAGCAAGAACCTACAACCAAGATTACTTTATCCAGCAAAGCTATCATTCAGAACTGAAGGTCAGATAAAGAGCTTCACAGATAAGGAAAAGCTAAAGGAGTTCATCACCACCAAACCAGGATTATATGAAATGCTGGAAGGTATCCTTTAAGAAGAGGAAGAAGAAGAAAAAGGTAAAGATACAAATTATGAATAACAAACATGCATCTATCAACAAGTGAATCTAAGAATCAAGTGAATAAATAATCTGGTGATCATAATAGAATCAGGGACATAGAAAGAGAATGGACTGACTATTCTTGGGGGGGAAAGGGGTGTGGGAGATGTGGGGAGAGACTGGACAAAAATCGTGCACCTATGGATGAGGACAGTGGGTGGGGAGTGAGGGCGGAGGGTGGGGCAGGAACTGGGAGGAGGGGAGTTATGGGGGGAAAAAAGAGGAACAAATGTAATAATCTGAACAATAAAGATTTAATTAAAAAAGAAAAGAAAAGAAAAAAAACAGAAAACAACAACAACAACAACAAAAAGAAAATAGTCCCATTTACAACTGCATCAAAAAGAATAAAATATTTAGGAATAAATTTAGTCAAGGAGGTGAAAAATGTACACTGAAAACTATGACACTGATAAAATAAATGAAGAAGATATAAATAAATGATAAGACATTTGCTACTCATGGAATGGACAAATTAATATTGTTGAAATGTCCATACTATCCAAAGCAGTCTACATATTCAGTGCCATCTCTATCAAAATTCCAATGGCATTTTTCACTAAGGCAAATAACTCTAAAATTTGTATGGAATCATAAAAAATCCCAAGTAGCCAAAGCAATCTTGACAAAGAACTAAGCTGGAGGAATCAGTTATCTCTGTGATTTCAAACTATATTACAAAGCCATAGTAATCAAAACAATATAGTACTGGCATAAAAACAGACATAGATCAATTAAACAGAATCCAGAGCCCAGAAATAAACCCACACAGATATGGACAATTAATTTATGGAAAAGGAGCTAAGAACATATAATGAAGAAAAAAGTTTCTTCAAGCAATGGTGCTGGGAAAACTGGGCACCCACATGCAAAAAATGAAACTAGACCACTATCTTATACTATACACAAAAATTAACTCAAAATGAGTTAAAGATTTGAACATAAGACCTGAAACCATAAACTTTCTAGAAGAAAACATAGATGGTAAGCTCTATGACATCAACAATGTTTTCATGGACCGGACTCCAAATGCAATAGAAACAAAAGCAAAAACAAATGTAAACATCAAAGTAAAAAGCTTCTGCACAGTGGAGGAAATGATTATCATAATGAAAAGGCAACCTACTAAATGGGAGGAGATATTTGCAAATCATATATCTGACGAGATTAATATGCAAAATATACAAAGAATTCCTACAACTCAACAACAAAAGAACAAACAACCTGATTTCTAAAAATAGGCAGAGGAACTGAACAGACATTTTTCCAAAGACATACAGATGGCCAACAGGCAAATAAAAAATATGTTGTAGTTCACTAATGATTAGGGAAATGCAAATCCAAACCACAATGAGACATCACCTCACACCTGTTAGAATGGCTATTGTCAAAAAGACTAGAAGCAACAGGTGTTAGAAGGAATGTGGAGAAAAGAGAACCCTATATATCAAGCATGTCAAATTCACAGCCAGCAGGCCGCTGTATTCTGACATGCTTCCTGTATATTGTAGGTAAATTGGTTTAGCCACTATGAAAAACAGTATGGAGATTCCTCAAAAAATTAGGACTAGGACTACCATATATTAGCTATTCCACTCTGGGTATTTATCCAAAGAATACAAAAATATTAATTCAAAAAGACATATGCACCCCTATGTTCACTGCAGCGTTATTTATAATAGCCAAGAAAAGGAGACAATCTAACTGTTCATCAATGGATGAATGGATAAAGAGATGTGGTATAGCCCTAAACGGTTTGGCTCAGTGGATGGAGTGTCAGCCTGCGGACTTAAGGGTCCCAGGTTCAATTCCAGTCAAGGGCATGTACCTTGGTTGCAGGCACATACCCAGTAGTGAGTGTGCAGGAGGCAGCTGGTCAATGTTTCTCTCTCATTGATGTTTCTAACTCTCTATCCCTATCCCTTCCTCTCAGTAAAAAATAATAATAATAATAATAATAATAATAATAATAATAAAATATATTTTTTAAAAAAGAGAGATGTGGTATATATACATAATGGAATACTACTCAGTCATAAAAAAGAATGAAATCTTGCCATTTGCAACAACATGAATGGACCATGAGGGTATTATGCTAAGTAAGATGAGTCAGATGGAGAAAGACAAATAATGTATGATTTCATTCATATGAGAAATCTTAAAAAACAAAATAAAACAAAACAAAAACTCATAGATACAGAGATTGGTGGTTATCAGAGAGGAAGGAGGTTAGGGGGTGGGCAAAATGGGTAAAGGAGGTTCAATTGTATGGTGAAGAATGGTAACTAGACTTTGGTGATGATCACTTTGTAGTGCAGATATAGAATTATAATGTTGGGGGGAAAAAAAAATTAATGTTGTACACCTGAAGCATATGCTATATTCCAATTTTACCTCAATTAAAAATATAGATGATAGATAGGTAGATAGATAGACTTAAAAGCTGTCTATTTGTTTCTTCAACTAAGTTGAAGGAAAATGCAAGTATATTATTTGGTTTTATGCTTATTGCTCAATTTCTTACTTCCTGCTACAATGCAATTATTTTGGAACAGAGATATAGTGGATTACCAATAAAACCAAGATTTGCCCAGGCAATTTCGCACTAAGTCAAACTCATTTTCAACTGAACCCAAGACATACTCATTTCAATGACTTCTCTTACCTTCCTTCATCTCTTCAGGACCAAATGCTCCTTGGACAGTGCTCTCTCTCAACCAAATGGGTCTCTCTTTGGCAGATTTCCCCTCCAGTGAGGCTCGATGAAGATCTTCTTGGTCATCCATGTTAATGACAACATTCTGAGTATATAAGTCCTCATAGGAGGGACCTTTGGTAGCCCATGCTTCCCGGTGGTGCCCACTTGACAGGCCAGCAGCTCCAGCAGTAGTTGCTGCACGGTCTTTGCTGAATGAAAAGATTAGAGGACAGGAAGAAAAATATTCAAATCTTGGTGTTGGAAAAGGAGGGCAGGTGCCTGGGTGGTTACTGAAAAAATACTATCTAGCAATCATGTATATAAGCTTTAACAATGCTGAGAAACCTCGTTTATATCTCAGGGTGAAAACTGCCTCAGTTATAAGAACACATCATATTTACATTTAAGTTCTTCACACTCTAGGTTAATCTGGGGTATATGAATGATTGAGGTTTTATAGTTGAAGATGTTGCAATAAGTCTACTTAGGAAAGGGGAGAATGTTATGATGACATAATCTACTTAAAGACACTAGTCGGCAAAAATCTCTCCCAGGTACTAGTATGTCTTTCATCTATCTTTCTTCACTCTGACTGACTCTTTTGGCCCCATGTTTTTCCTTTACTTCTCTTCCATTTTTCTCTAAATGTTCCCATGGAACCTGGACTGTTGTTTTGTGTGGAGTCCTGTCTCAATTTGAGCCTAAACAATACTTCTTCACTTGTCTTTATGTCTTCTAACACTTCTCTCTCTTACAAACCATTCACTATTTTTCCTTCTCTTGGATCCTACTTTATTTCTCTCCCTCAGAACACTGTGCTTCTGGCCATACTATGGAGGAATCTTGGGCTATCCCATCCTTCCTGTTCTCCTTCTGGGTACCTAAAGGCCCACTGCCACTGAGAGATCAACCAAAAGACTTGTATGTATGCATATAAGCATAACCAATGGACAGAGACAGCAGGAGGGTGAGGGCATGTATGGGAGTGAGGTGAGGATGGGGGGAATGGGGGGATTTGTTAACATACATAATACCTTAATCAATAAAAAAAAAAAGCACTCTCTCCAGTTGTGCAATCCAAGCTGACCCAGTCATTTAATCTATTTCTGCCAGCTATTACCTCTAGCTATACCTAGAGCTGCTTAAAAACTATTCTTTCCCCTAGTCTTTGTACCAGTTATTTGCTGTTGCCCTCTGAGTCTAGGCCAGCCGTGGGCAAACTACAGCCCGTGTGAAATGAATAAAACTAAAAAAAAAAAAAAGACCGTACCCTTTTATGTAATGATGTTTACTTTGAATTTATATTAGTTCACACAAACACTCCATCCATGCTTTTGTTCCGGCCCTCCGGTCCAGTTTAAGAACCCATTGTGGCCCTCGAGTCAAAAAGTTTGCCCACCCCTGGTCTAGGCTTAGTAGGTGTCTCTCTGTACCCAACCCATCTATTTGTCTTGCTACATTTTAAAGTCTTATGCTACACTGCAAATAACTGGTTTCTTTCTCTTTTCTTTCTGCATTCATCATGGTACTTTTTGAACTATTTACTATGTTTGTCTCAATTTAATCCTTATCTGGCCCTAGTCATTCTCTTACCATCTTCTACCTATTCCGATGTCTTCGAAAAGGCTGTGTTACTGCATTCACTATAATCTGACTCTGCTTACTCTGGTGTAAATTGGCTCTTTGAATTTTAGTCTCCCTCAATCATTCACTTTTCTTTCTCTTCGCTTCTCCCTTGGCCTGATCTGTGTTTATATGTTTACATACTTACTCTATATCCTTAGTCTCTCTTCTCTCACCCAGAATATCTCTTCTATCTTCAGCCAACATCCTTACCTTGTTGTGTTGAGCCTGCTCTATATGCCTGTCTACCCCCAAGTGTATCTCCCTGAGCTAGCCATGTGCCTTTTGTCTCTCTCCATACATTAAATGTTTCTCTAGCTCTGACCTGGCCAACTACACCTCTGTCCTTTTCTGTGCCTTCTTCATCCAGACTCTTATTTTATTTTATTTTTTATATTTTTATTGATTTCAGAGAGGAAAGGAGAGAGAGAGAGAGAGACAGAAACATCAATGATGAGAGGGAGTCATTGATCGGCTGCCTCCTGCATACCCCCTACTGGGGATTGAGCCCGCAACCTAGGCATAATGCCTTTGACTGAAATCGAACCCGGGACCATTCAGTCCGCAGGCCGACACTCTATCCCCTGAGCCAAACCAGCCAGGGCAGATTCTTAAATGGTTTACTCACTTTCCCTGAAGCTACTATTTCTCTCTGTATAAACGTGAACACATAGCTTTCATCCAAGCTCTATCTTTAGCTTTAACTCTGAAGGTCAACAAGTATTTAGTACTCTGAGTAGAGAAGAACAAGAAAAGTGGAGGAAAAGAGCAGAACAATTAAAATAAATAAATGTTACCATGAGGATACTTTTGTAAGTCTCTTGTTTTCAGTACTCTATTATAGAAAATCAAGATTGGTTTAATTCCAGTTTGAAGCAGAAGAGATCTGACCACAAGTCAAACAAATGTTAAAATTTGGAAGAATATTTTTAAAATGATATTTTTAACCATGGAGAGTTGACTACACAGATTTTATTTCTACTTTCACCACAGATACAGGCCAATCTAAATTATCAGCAAATGTGACACTAAAAATCTAGATGAGAGACACATAGGTTCACTCCTTCTGCTTATTTAAATTTCCTCTATGGAGAGAATACACACATTTTACTTAAAGATGACAAAATGGACAATTCAGTTTTAAATCTTTTTACATTATTTAAGACATTTTAGAACTTTTAAAAGATATAACTCTTGCTCAGGAGTGTGGGAGGAATATTATTTCAAACTAAAATTTTAAAGATCTTTAAGGTGAGTGTTAAATAAGAGATGGTGGAAAGGGAGAGGCTATGAGCAAGGAATTCCATTTAATGAAAAGCTGGAACTGTCCATCAGCTCTCGGGTTAAGTCTACTAATTCTGCAGAGGCAGCTTCTGGCTCCTGATCTGGGGATAAGCTAGAATTTAATTGGTTACAGATCAGGAACCAAACTAACAATCATGCCACTTATTTTCTTTTTAGATCATCAGTGAACCACTGTCATCTCTGAACTCCCTTTCCACTCTACTGTGGCTTCTTTTCTTGTATTTGGGGTAGGATGGCTATTGCAGATCTGTTATGCTCGGAAACAAATCCTTTAGTATAGATAGGCTAAATCAATACCCCTTCCAGGATGTTATAACCAGGCAGTGGAGCTTGTCAAATGCTTAGTAAGGCCATCTCAGCCGGGTTAACACCTTGTAACCTCGCTCAATGGTCTTTCTCTTGAACTTAGTTCTGGCTGGCAGCTCCAGGTACCCCATTCTATCTCTTTTGCCTGCCTCTATTTCCCTTTATTTCCTAGTGACCAAGCTGTTGGATAGGTTCTTTCTTGATCAGTTTACTTGCTTTATTTCCTGATTTTTCTTCATCCCTGGAGTCATCACCATTCCTAATAAGAAGCTAGGTTATTTGATACAGTGAGTTGCTAGGGCCTCTGGCGTCACCACCACTCAGACTTGTCACTGGCATGAAGCAACGGATATCTAAATAAAGATCTGGAATGGGAAGTGGACAGTGGTAAGTGGGGAGCATGAGAGGTAGGATGCCATTGGTGATGGTGAATGAATACTATTGTACCTAGGGAACATCTAAACAGGAAAATAACTATCGTTAGAAGAAGCACAAGAATAATTCATAGATAGTATTATATTGTGTTCTTAAAACTGTAGTTACAATTTGGACTAATGTGTCCTATGAAAGGGTATACAGTAAACGCTAAGCTCTTAGCTTTTACCTTTTAGTTTAACACTAGGAGGAAAAAGAAAAGAGGTAGCGTAGGAGAACACTCGCTGACCCCAATTCCCTTTTACTAGCATGCTTTTCAAAGAATATAAGCCACTTTTTATGGCATGGCAAAACTAAGGCTGAATCTGCAATTCAATTGGGACTCTCAAAAGAATAAGAAGCCATAGTAAGAAGTACTAACTCACAGGAAACACATATTTTACTTCACTTTCAAGGAAGTTGCACTGAAAACTGAGGCAGTCAAGAAAGGTGTGGTTAATGTGCTTCAAAAACAAAAAAGTGAATGCTGTATTCCTTAAAGAACTTCAGCCTTCAGAACTTGGCTAGGAAAATTCAAATATCCCCAAGAGGCACTACCAATTTAGGATTAGCTGACAATTGCCTGAGTTGCAGCAGGCCTAATAAGCAGAGTGAGTAGTTGAAGTCAAACTTGACTATTTAAAGATTTTTGCCTAACGCCCACACTTTTCTGTATTCACTACAAACAAACTTCATCACAGGCACAAGTTAATAAGACAAGTGCGACAGAGCTTGGAATCTATGAAACACCAGTCTTTAGTCTCCTAGTAAATTAGTTACCCACTCTTTCTCTTCAAAGTACAGGTAGTTAAAACAAGAGCAAGCTTAAAGTGTTATTGGTAAGAGCACAGGGACTATACTCACCTCTGTTTCAGGGCTGGTATTTCTGTGGGTTCTGGCTCAAGTATTTCATAGGCCAAGTTCACATCCTCTGTTTCCCGAAGCAAAGCATAAATGGGCTCAATTTGTTCATTAAACCTTGCCAAAAGTGTGCGTGCATCTTTTTTGGGCATTGCTGATTCATCTTCTTCTACCTCTGTATTGCAAAAAGTGCAGCGGAAAGTTCCTACAGAGAAAACAAAAGTCTCAGGTCAGGGAAGAGAAATTCTCAAGACTAGCCTTTCGCAAACTGTTTATATCTCCACTTCTCCTCTAATGTGTTATTATTAAAACTTTTAAATAAAAAACAAAAACAAACAAAAAACTTTTAAACATACAGAAAAGTTGAGTTTTTTTTAAAATGAATATCCACGTGCTCACAATCGAGATTCTTTTCATCTCTCATTTTGATGTATTTCAAATTAATTTCTAACCCCTAATTGCAGCATAGCAAACAGATTTTAATCATATTTCTAACAAACTTATACTTAACTTAAAACCAAATTTTTAGTTTACCAGTGAAGCCTGTACCTTTTCCCAAAAGCCTTCTTTTCACACATTACATATTTGGGCCTACATTATGGAGAAAGCCAAATAAACACCTGAAACCAAGTCTCTAGTCATCTTGTACACTGTCACACAGCTATTTCTTCAAACTTGTTAACCATTTATACCTAAACAAATTTAACCAATCATTTCCAAAATTAAAGTTCAAGAACCCTTTATTGTTCTTATTTCTATATCCCTCACATTCAACTTGTACCTAAATTGCCCTAATTCCCTAGAAATATCTTAAGATTTTTCACTTCTATTGTAGTTTCACTAATCAAAACCACCATTAGTTAGTTCGAAACAGTTTCCTAAATCTGGTCAATGGACCTCTAGGTTCTCCTCCATTTCCACGTTTTCTATGCCACCATTCTTGCCATCTCATTGCCCTGATCTAAAGTCTGTCTGGCAGCTGAATTTCTAAAGTCCACAGTATGAAATCTAAATTTCTCATCCTAACATTCACGATCCTGTATAATCTGGCGCAAAACATCACAACCCAACCATAGTCCTTTACCTGTCAAGTAAATTCAAATACTTGAAAAACAACATACTCGACATTAATATTTATTATATTTTATAGTACTTTCTGTTTCTAAAATGCTTCCATGTATACTTTTTAATCCTTATATCAATCCTACAAAGTTATGTCAGAACTGAGGCTCTGAGTTTTGTGATTTGTCCAAAGTCACACAGCCAGTAAAAGAAAAGTATATAAGAAAGCAGTAAACAGTGTAATCAAGTTGTATTAATTATCATTACATTTTAACTACCTTCATTTAATATGCTTGAACTGCTGCCTTAACTTAAGTATCTAGAAGAAAAGCCAAAATATAACTATTGCTGCCTTTCTAACACCCATAATGCAGTTCCATATTAAACTGAAATGTACGTTAACCCAGAACAAGAGCTATATACTGTATATATAGCATAACTGCTTAGTTGCATTTGAGATTTTCTAGTCATAGTCATTGTGTAATGCAACTACTTCTCATAGTTCCCAGTATCATTTTCTGATAAATGAATTACTATATATTTAATGTAAAAATTCTTATACTAAGTAGAATAAACTTTTGACTTCTTTTTTTCATTAAAAAAAAGAAAGAAAAAGTACATAACAGCAACTGTTAAATACTGAGTGCTTACCAAGTATTGCCGACCCTCTGAGGCTGGTATAATTATTGCACATTTAAATTTGTAAAATACAGTTATTCTAAGGGGTTAAGTAGCTTGCTCAAGGTTATATAACTAATAATTGTGAGGAAGGGGCCAGGATTAAAACCCAAACTATTTTGCTGAAACTCACACTCTTAAACATTACAGTCCATACGACTAGCCTCAATTGGATCTCCAGTTTGGCTCTTATTCCCAACATCAGAGATATGCATCCTTCATTTCTATCCCAATATATCAGAGTATGGATCAAGAGACCATACAAGTACTTAGTGCCTGACACATTTTAAGTATGCAAACATTTAGCTTTACAAAGTTCCATATGTGATTGATACACATCCCTACCCTTTACTCCCTCCTTCCCTGGTAAGGAATAAACAAACTAGGCATCTCTGTCTCAACACAACACTGGAGCTTACTGATATATTTCAAGTAGAAAAGCTTTTTTACTGCTTCTCACATATAAGCACTCAATACCATATAAATTCTTTGTTCATATATCCTGTCCAAAACATTCTTCATCCATCTTGCTGCTGGCCAAATGGTACCTAATCTTTTACACCTATCCCAAGTAAGTGAGAGAGAAAAGCAACCTCTCACAGCTAGGAGATGGCCTAGCACAGTTAGGCTCTGATGTATTTCTACCAAACAGAATCTCACAGATCACCAATATCAGATAAGGAAGGTCCACTATGACCATGATGCAAAGCCAAGTCTGTTTGAGTAAGAGTACAGACAAAAGCAAGGTCTCTGTCCAACCATACAAACACACACAAAAATATCAGCTAACTGGGACTACTGCTTCTTTACCAGTTACAGTTTTAACCTGACCCTGTTCTTCTCACCTTCTAGATAAAGCTTATTAAGATACTCAATCATAGCCCAGCCAGTGTGGCTCAGTAGTTGAGTGCCAATCTATGAAAACAGGTGGTCTCAGTTCCATTCCTGGTCAGGACATGCCTGGGTTGCGTGCTCGATCCCCAGTAGGGGGCGTGCAGGAAGCAGCTGATCAATGATTCTCATCACTGATGTTTCTATCTTTCTCCCTCTTCCTTCCTCTCTTTGAAATCAATTAAAACATATCTTTTTTTTAAAAAAGATACCCAATTATAGAACCATTCCTACTACTTGACAATACCCAATCCAGAGCAAACCCAAACCACTTCCTTGAATCCTCCCCAAAATTACCTAACAAAAGCCCCAATTCTCCATCCAGCACGTTCTTACTGTGACACTCCATAGTTCCCTCATCACATGTGACTTCCCATGTTGCAGAAAGCATCAATTTACCCAACTTTATTTACCTATGAGGTGTGTTACTGATGGTGTTTGACTAGTGGGCATCAATATAAAAATCCTAGCTTAATCAACTGGACAAGCATCCTATTTACCAAAATAAATACAGGAAGAATAAGTTCTTTTTTCTTTGTGGTGAAGATATAAAGTTACTTTAAATATCTGAATCTTCTTTACCCATTGGTCATCAAAATGGATGAGTTAGAAGCCAACTTATTACAACTGCTCAAAGCTCAAAATTGAAATGTAGATTAGAAATTCTAATATGAGAATCAACAACATATAGGTAGTAACTGAAATCATAAAGTAGATGAGAATTTCAAAAGAGATTAAGGAGAGTGAGAAGCATAGGTAGTCAAAGAAAGAAGAATCCTTAAGACAAAAATGGTACAACCAGAGGGATAGGATGGTATTTCAAGGGAGAAATGGTTTGGTGTTAATTTCTCAAGGTAAAAAAGAATGGAAAACTAGCTTCTATATTTAGTAACAAAGGGTATTAGTGACCTTGGCTAGAGAGGTTTTAGTTGGTATGCTATCTTATTTTCTAACTATTCCAGGTTACCTCAGCTTCTTTTCTTCACAAAAATAGAATAGAACCCATGTGGGAGTTAAAAAATAAATCATATAAAATAAGGTCTAAATCCATTTTCAAATACCTGCTGAATTAAAAAGAAAAAATGCTGATGTGGGACTTACATTAAATGTTGAAAGATGGGCACTTACAAAGACTGTCAATGAAAACTAGAGAATACTGCAAAAAAGTTATGTAATTCAGTTTTCAAACTCTTAAAGAAACCCTATTCCACAAGTGAAGAAGTAACTAATATCTATACATATAAAAGCCTAAGCAACCATCTAATCATTTGACTGGTAGCTATGACATGCACTGACCACCAGGGGGTAGACACTTAATGCACAGGCATGGAAACATGGAACAGACTGATGAATCTCAGAGGGAAGAGGGATGGGGGGAGGGCAGGAAGAGATTAACCAAATATCTTGTATGCATACTAGAGGCCTGGTGCATGAAGTTGTGCACAGATGGGGTCCCTCAGCCTACCCTGCGGGGATCACATCGAAACAGGCCCGGTGCACGGATTCGTACACCGGTGAGGTCCCTTGGCCTGGCCTATGGAGATCGGGCCGAAAGCAGTCCGACATCCCGAGGGATGTCGGATTGCAAGAGGGCACAAGCCAGGCTGAGGGACCCCTAGTGTAAGTATAAAACCAAGTGCTCCAACTGAAGCACAGAAAGACAACTAAGACAAAGGGCAACACTATAATCCTCTCAACCTATGTCTTCAAAGCATTACAAACTGGCTCCTCAAAGTCTTGCACCAGGCACACTTTGCTACAGAGCCTTTGTACTTGCTGTTTCCTCTGCCCAGAATGCTTTTCCTCCAGATAGGTGAGTGGCAAGTCTCCCTACTTAGTTCAGTTCTTTACTCAAAAGTAACATCAGTGAGGCCTTCCCTACCAACATTACCTAAAATTTCAATACTGTCCTGTCCTCCTCTTTTCCTTAACATTTATCACTATCAAACATGTTGTTTTATTATTTATTCAATTATTTATCATTAAAAGTATCATGCTATACCAACATTTTTAAAAAGCCCTTCCAAATACCCCATTTCTCTTTTGAAGGCAAGATACATTAAAACTTCAGCTTTAAATAAACAAATAAACGCGCTAGTCAGTGTTGCTCATCCACATAAAATAGCAATGCTTTTATTTTGGGAAAAGAAAGAGATCACTGTTAACATCATCATTTGATAGAAGGGCAATCTCAGAATAACAGTCCTTTAACTTGAAAAATTTGGTTTGTGGGGAAAAAAATAGAGGGGGGAAAGAGAACATAGTATATAGTCATAAGGGACCTGAATTCTAGCCTCACCCAGGTAACTTTCCAGATCTGGGTTTAATTTAGATGAAGATTTACCAAGAGTTACTTGTAGAAGGGCTCATTTTCAGTTCTAAAAAGAGTGGCTTACATATTACTGTGAAAAATCTACCTTCTTATAAGCTAACAAGTTATCCTACCAGTTTCATGGATGTTGGAGAAAGACACAAGACTCCTAGGTCAGAGACAAAGAACTTTATTAATCAGGGCAGTAGCAGTAGTCAGTTTTGTGACAGTTCTGTAAGCCCCCAATTCCCACAGGGTGACAC